CGTGCGTGCGTGCGTGCGTGCGTGCGTGTGCGTGTGCGTGTGTGCGTGTGTGCGCCGCCGGAGGGGAATCCCGGTCATTTACACGTTAAACGGCGCGACGTGGATTTTTTCACCCCCTCGGCATAACTTCTCGTTTCGCCATTAGTGGGCATTAGTGACCCACTGTCAATGACACTCGTGCCTTCCTTCCGATCCTCGCCGCTGCCGCCGCACCCGCAGCACAACAACACCGGCGGGAGGGTAGGGTAGGGGAGGGGAGGAGGAGGGGTGGGGAAACAAAGCCCGTATTGAATCACGGCACGGGACCACGGGCGTTGCTACGCAAACAAGCTGCGGCGGCTGTTGACAGTGTCGAAAAGAAAATAGGATTGCAAATAGAATAATTCTTCTCGATTGCGTGCAAAAACAATCTAGTAAAACCTCATTTGGTTGGGTTTGAGGTGGGATGAGATGTGGGTTGGGTCGGGTTGTAGGTTGGAGCTGGGTTTGTGGTGTGTTGGGGGTGTGGGTTGGGGGAGGGTTAAGGTGGGTTGGGGTGTGGGTTGGGGGTGGGTTGTGGAATGGGTTGGAGGATTGTCTGGGGTGGGTTGGAGAGTGGGTTGGTTTGGGCAAGTGTGGGTTGGAGGGTAGGTTGGGAACTTATACTGTCGACATCCATGTAAACCATTATACTGTAGTAAGCTTACAATGCGTAAACTAAAACATGATCATAGTAACCAAATCATGAAAAAATATTATCCGTTCAGCATAATCTCATCCCGTACTTACGGTTTACCTCTTCAATCTCTCGTCATTATGTAGTTAGGTCATCAAACACATCATTCACCCGTCCCCCTCCATAGAAGCTGTTTCACGCTGTATGGCCCTGCTGGATGGCTCACGGGGTTAGGGTCACACGGATAATCGGTCACAAGAATTGGTCATAGGGAAATAATCGGTCATAAATAGTAAACCTCGGTTTACTACTATACAAAGAAGAAAGCGCTAGGAGGGAGCAGGGAAAGGGGCGCACAGGAGGAGGAAGAGAAGATTAATTTTCCGTGTGACCAATATTTCTGTGACAAATTTCCCGTGTGATAATTTTCCTGTGACCAATATTCCCATGACCAATGTTCCCGTTTGACCATTTTCTCGTGACCAATTTTTCGTGTGACCAATATTCCCCCGGGCCCTGTGGCGTTAGCATGTACTCTTACCTTTCCCAGTCCGACGAGTCCAGTATTAACGACGCTATTGTCCTCCAGCATCCACAAAGCCATCGTCGCTGCCGCACCGACGATTTCATCATCCTCGTTTCGCTTGATCTCCGACAGATACTGCTCAGGATTGTAGGGAATGTAATAGACGGGACTGAAACGAACGAAGCGCCGATATTAATGGCAATCAATTAATTAATAAAAACAATTATACTGTACTAAAATAAAATATACTGTACTCATATAATGTGTGTGTGTTGGTGTGTGTGTGCGTGTGTGCGTGCGTGCGTGTGTGCGTGCGTGCGTGCGTGCGCGTGCGTGTGTGTGTGTGATATAATTTTATTAATTAATGAAAATGTAGGCCTACGTTATAAAACTTATAACGAGATCTACCGTCGGACATCGAATCCCATTCCGCCTTCTCATGTTTCACGAAGGAGAATATCGACGAGCTTAGATATCTCTATTTAATTGTGCAGGCTTTAATAATAGAATGACATTCACTCATGATGGAATCGCTATAATACACCTATTACACACTAATAGTCGGTGTTGTTCACTGGCGCTATAATCCTTTCGTGTGTGAGGCTGAATGAGAGGGGTGGAAGGTGAATGGATGAGAAGAGGATAGGTGCATAAGAGCAGGAAGCGTGAATGAGAGCAGATATGATTGGCGAGGTGAGAAAGGGTGAATCATAAAAGGAAGGGTAGCTGACAGCAGGAAGGATAGATGAGGAGAGGGAGAGTGAACTATAAAATGAGGGGGGTCAGCTGATGGGTGGATGAGAGGAGGAAGGTTGGATAAGACCAAAAAGGGCGGATGAGGAAAGGAAGGATGAATGAGATCAGCATAGGCGGATGAGACCAGGAAGTTTAGCTGAGAGGAGAGAGCGTGCGACCCACCTGTACGTGATGGTATTGACCGTCTCTAAGATTTCATCCTGTGTCAGGTTGCGTATGATGCGCTCGTTGAAACCCCACATCTCCAGCAGCCCGTTAGAGAGACACTTCTCGCCCACCTTTACGCACTTGTCTTCCCAGGTGATGCCCGATGCATTCAGACTCTTCACTTCTAAATCTATGTCGAGTAACTGCAGCGAATAATAGAGGGAAACCATCGCAATGTATCATTCACATTCTTGTCGTTGACCGTCAATGATGTCTAATCAAAAATCGAGCTCTTAGAAGCAGCTAAACCACACGAGTACAGCGCAATACGTGTGACGTCATCATCAGCTGCAGCAGCAGCGGCGTGGACGCGATGAACGACCCTTGACCCGTGACGTCATGCCGCGACCACCCTTGACCCCGCGACGTCACGCGGTAGCCACCCTTGGCACCGCGTCTTCACGCGACAGCGACCCTTGACCCCGTGACGTTACGCGGCAGCGATCCTTGACTTCGTGACGTAACGCGGTGACAACCCTTGACCCCGTGACGTCACGCGGCAGCCATCCTTGACCCCGTGACGTCACGCGGCAGCCACCCTTGACATCGCACACACCTTGACCTTGTCACGCAGCAGCGGTCCGCGGCAGGCGATTCGAGACCAACGGGTTCATTCACCACCACGCGACAGCGCGTGCATGCTCACCGCGTGCATGCTCACCGCTAGGCTCCCAATGTTGTACATACGCACAGGGGACAGGTGGGCTCTATTTATGATGGGTGATGTTTAGCTGGGTACTGTCGGGATATACCTCTAACGCTGATCCTAATCCTACCCCTAGCCTAGCGATAACCCATCTCTAACCCTAGAACCAAACTAATCGTCTCTCCATCTCTCTCCATATATATATAATTATTAAGGATAGTTAAGCGGTAACTATGTTGTTGTTTAAACGTGCGACAAGTTCAAAGGTACTGAACCTATACGACCTATAGCTACACGGCTATTGTTTAAAACAACGGTATAGTAGGCGTGCTGGACGCGAGCTGCGAATTTGGTAGCTTTTAACTACGTGTGTATAGCATAGATGATAGCAATAAATTCCTTCGCTGATAACCATGATCAACGATGTAATACGAATAAATGTGCACACTTGAAGATAATTTGAGTAAAATATATAGGTATTTACACGTAACGCATATTATATTTAATGCCTCTCGTTTGCATTGCACGTATATGACCTGTATTGTCGTACATTATACATTGTCGTACATTATATTACGTGTGCATGTTCAGTTCCATATTATATTTTACTCGTGTATAGGCCTATATTCTTAGTTCGTGTACTTGCCGAGAAGGAGGAAGGGCAGCACCATGTGTATGGGACCGTACAGCAGTCCACACAAAGACGACAGTCCGAACCCAGCTATTAATGACATGCCGACACAGATGAGACCCAGTATAGCTAGCCACACCTAAAAAAAACATGAAAGATAAATCACATCACGACATTAAACGCGTCTCTTCATTGAACGATACAAGCAGTAAGTCACCGAGTTACTGACATCCGGTGTTCAATATACCAACCGCAGTTTTGTTAACCATTTTCTTTTGGAGTTTCAAGACTCGATGTTGCAAGCACTTGCGCCCGGTGAACGATGCCGTAAATTCTACTAGAGATTTGTTTGATCGGTGTTTGAGTTCGCGGCGTTATTGCCATGGTAACGGAGTGCAAGTGATTTTTGCCAGCGTTTTGTGAACCATTATAATACATAAATAAACACTTACTCAAACAAATTTTAATATGCAACATACATCATGGTTATGATCACGTGCCATTATATATATATACGTACATATATATATATGTATATGAGTACGCAACTCATATATTCGGCTAAGCATTCTACATTTCGTGGTTGTGTGTTGGTAGGCAGGTCGTGGCTCTTACCCTGTGTTCGACGAGGTTGAATCGACCGAGCACGAAGCTGACGAAGAGCAGAACTAGCACGTAGCCGAAGACTAGCATCGTTACATCATCGACGATAGAGCTAGCTCCCAGCTCATCGATACTGTAATATCCGACACGGCACTTTAATATTGATCATCACCGATATCGATGTCGACGCGGTTATAGGCTCGAACGACGTGGAAACGAACGCATGGTTTATATTAAAACGTAGAATGATATTGTACGGACGAATATTGATTTTGTTAACCCCAGTAGATCGAGGGCTATATATTATATATATATATATATATATATATATATATAATTATATATATATGCATATTTTCATAGACATATCTATACTAGTTATGTTCTTGATATAATAGCCATGGTAAACAATTTGGTGAAATATTACCGACGCTATATCTGGCAGGCAATGTGTTGTTATATCTACTACAGATAGCCCGTATATGTACCCATATGTACCCAAACGATATACACATACCCATGCTATAGCCACACAGCCCTAACATAATTATAGATTATGGGCCATCGATACAAGTAGTACGACCTTCAACTGGTTACTCATTGTACCTTTTCCCGGCCAAGTAATATATCCTGTCTATGTCGGCGTGACCGCGAGTGGCTATCTTCATCCACTCGTCCTCCCACAATTCTGCCTCCTCGTCCACCTGAAAGCAGATATATTCATCTCCGCATATATCTTTGTATACATCATTTACATCATTGCTATAAGTATTCATAATTTACCGTACTCGGAAAATACCTATTCTTCATTATACCCGGGTTATATGGGTACGTACTCGTCATTTACTAGCACGCGTAAGTTGGAAGTTCGACATACGCACTTGCCGGCCTATAAGCAGCTTAGTGCGCGTGTCAGGCCTTATTACAACCACGCCACGAACCGAACGATACCATCCACTCCCACCATTATGGTGGCCGAGGGCTGCCACTACAATTTTACCTCTGAAATAAATAAAATTTAAAATTTAAAAATTAAAATCAAAATCAAATTCAAAACGAAATAAAAATCGAAATAAAAATAAAAATAAAAATAAAAATAAAAATAAAAATCAAATTCAAAATCAAAACGAAATAAAAATCGAAATCAAATCAAAATCAAAATCAAAATCAAAATCAATATCAAAATCTAAATCAAAATCAAATAAAAATCAAAACGAAATCAAAATTCGAAATCAAAATCAAATCAAAATCAAAATCAAAACGAAATCAAAATCAAAATCAAAATCAAAATCAAAATCAAAATCAAAATCAAAATCAAAATCAAAACGAAATAAATCAAAATCAAAATCAAAATCAAAATCAAAATCAAAAATCAAAATCAAAATCAAAAGTAAAGTGAAATGAGTTTACGCGTTGGCGAGAGCTGCAAACTGAAATCAGTTTTCGCGTTGGCCGAGAGCTGCCAATATAGACTGGTACCGTTCGCCACCTTCACTCCGGCATATATCCTTCGCTTACATGAAGTTAGTGCTGGGGCCCGTATGGAAGTGACTATACGCACGGCGCCGTGTGGAAAGTTCCATATGGCTATACGCACGGCGGCCGTATTGGCGACTCAGATATGGCTAGGAATGAGGAAGGGGAGAAGGAGAAGCTGAGGAGAAGGAGGAAGGGAGAAGGAGAAGTGGTGTGGAGAAGGAGGAATGGAGAAGCTGGTGGAGAAGGAGGAAGGGGAGAAGGAGAAGGTGGGGAGAAGGAGGAGGCAGAGAGCTGGTGAGAGGGAGGAGGGAGAAGGGAGAAGGTGTTGGAGAAGGAGGAGGCGGGGAGAAGCTGGTGGAGAAGGAGGAGGGGCGGAGAAGAGAGAAGGTGGTGAGAAGAAGGGGAGAAGCTGGTGGAGGAGGAGGGGGAGAAGGGAGAATGTGATGGAGGAGGGCAGGAACTGGTAGAGAAGGAGGAGGGGAGGAAGCTGGTGAGAGAAGGAGGAAAGCGGAGAAGGAGGGAGAGAAGGAGCTGGTGGAAGAGGAGGGGGAGAAGGGAAGCTGGTGAGAGGAGGAGGGGGGAGAAGGTGTGGAGAAGGAGGAGGGGAGAAGCTGGTGGGAGGAGAGGGGAGAAGGGAAAGGTGGTGGAGAAGGAGGAGGAGAAGCTGGTGAAGAGGAGGAGGGGGAGAAGCTGGTGCGAGAAGGAGGAAGAGGGCGAAGCGGGAGAAGGCGTGGTGGAGAAGGAGGAAGGAGAAGGGAGAAGGTGGTGGAGAAGGAGAGGAGAAGTGGTGGGAAGGACGGAAGGGAGACCAGGAAGAAGGTGGTGGAGAAGGAGGAGGGGAGAAGCTGGTGGAGAAGGACGGGGAGAACCGGCTCCTTCTCCCCCTCCTTCTCTCCTTCCTCCCTTCCACCAGTTCCTCCCCGTCCCCCTTCTTCACCAGCTTCTCCCCCTCCTTCTCCACCACCTTTTCCCTTCTCCTTCTCCTCTTCTCACCACTTCTCCCTCCTCCTTCTCACCACCTTTCCCCCTCCTCCTTCTCCACCAGCTTCTCCCTTCTCCCCCTCCTCCTCCACCAGCTCCCTTCTCTCCCTCCTTCTCCCTTTCCTCCTTCTCCACCAGCTTCTCCCCTCCTCCTTCTCTACCAGTTTCTGCCCCTCCTCCACCACCTTCTCCCTTCTCCCCCTCCTCCTCCACCAGCTTCTCCTCCTTCTCACCACCTTCTCTCTTCTCCCCCTCTCCTTCTCCACCAGCTTTCCCTCCTTCCTTTCCACACCTTCTTCCTTCTCCCCTTCCTCTCTCCACCAGCTTCTCCATTCCTCTTCTCCACCACCTTCTCCTCTTTCCCCTTCCTCCTTCTCTCAGCTTCTCCCTTCTCCCCTTCCTCATTCCTAGCCATATTGAGTCGGCCATACGGCCGCCGTGCGTATAGCCATATGGAATCTTATCCACACGGCCGCCGTGCGTATAGTCACTTCCATACGGGCCCCGCACTAACTTCAGTGTAGCGAAGGATATATGCCGGAGTGAAGGTGGCGAACGGGTACAGTCTTATATGCAGCTCTCGGCCAACGCGAAAACTGATTTCACTTGCAGCTCTCGGCCGACGCGAAAACTGATTTCACTTTGCGCAGCTTCGGCCAACGCGAAAACTGATTTCACTTTGCAGCTCTCGGCCAACGCGAAAACTGATTTCACTTTGGCAGCTCTCGGCCAACGCGTCGTAAACTCATTTCACTTTACTTTATTTTATTGATTTTGATTTCGTTTTTGATTTTGAATTTGATTTTGATTTTTGATTTTGATTTTGATTCTGATTTTGATTTTCGATTTTGATTTCGTTTTGAATTTGATTTTGACAAAAATTTTTTTTTGGCTTTTATTTATTTCAGAGGTAAAATTGTAGGTGGCAGCCCTCGGCCACCATACTCCATATATATACATATATATATATTATATATATTATATATATATATATTATATATATATATATGTGTGTGTGAGTGTGTGTGTGTGTGTGTGCTGTGTGTGTTGTGTGTGTGTGTGTGTGTGTGCGTGCGTGCGTACGTGCGTGTGTGGTGCGTGCGTGCGTGCGTGCGTGTGCGTGGTGCGTCGTGTGCGGGTGTGCGCGCCGGAGGGGAATCCCGGTCATTTACACGTTAAACGGCGCGACGTGGATTTTTTCACCCCCTCGGCATAACTTCTCGTTTCGCCATTAGTGGGCATTAGTGACCCACTGTCAATGACACTCGTGCCTTCCTTCCGATCCTCGCCGCTGCCGCCGCACCCGCAGCACAACAACACCGGCGGGAGGTGGAGGGGAGGGAGAGGAGGGGTGGGGAAACAAAGCCCGTATTGAATCACGGCACGCGACACGGGGCGTTGCTACGCAAACAAGCTGCGGCGGCTGTTGACAGTGTCGAAAAGAAATAGGATTGCAAATTAGAAAATTCTTCTCGATTGCGTGCAAAAACAATCTAGTAAAACCTCATTTGTTGGTTTGAGGTGGGATGAGATGTGGTTGGGTCGGGTTGCTAGGTTGGAGCTGGGTTTGTGGTGTGTTGGGGGTGTGGTTGGGGGAGGGTTAAGGTGGGTTGGGGTGTGGGTTGGGGGTGGCGTTGTGGAATGGGTTGGAGGATTGTCTGGGTGGGTTGGAGAGTGGGTTTGGGCAAGTGTGGGTTGGAGGTAGGTTGGGAACTTATACTGTCGACATCCATGTAAACCATTATACTGTAGTAAGCTTACAATGCGTAAACTAAAACATGATCATAGTAACCAAATCATGAAAAAATATTATCCGTTCAGCATAATCTCATCCCGTACTTACGGTTTACCTCTTCAATCTCTCGTCATTATGTAGTTAGGTCATCAAACACATCATTCACCCGTCCCCCTCCATAGAAGCTGTTTCACGCTGTATGGCCCTGCTGGATGGCTCACGGGGTTAGGGTCACACGGATAATCGGTCACAAGAATTGGTCATAGGGAAATAATCGGTCATAAATAGTAAACCTCGGTTTATACTATACAAAGAAGAAAGCGCTAGGAGGGAGCAGGGAAAGGGCGCGACAGGAGGAGGAAGAGAAGATTAATTTCCAGTGTGAGCAATTTTCCTGTGACAAATTTCCAGTGTGAGCAATTTTCCTGTGACAAATATTCCAGTGACTAATGTTCCCGTTGGACCATTTTCTCGTGACCAATTTTTTCGTGTGACAATATTCCCCCGGGCCTGTGGCGTTAGCATGTACTCTTACCTTTCCCAGTCCGACGAGTCCAGTATTAACGACGCTATTGTCCTCCAGCATCACAAAGCCATCGTCGCTGCCGCACCGACGATTTCATCATCCTCGTTTCGCTTGATCTCCGACAGATACTGCTCAGGATTGTAGGGAATGTAATAGACGGGACTGAAACGAACGAAGCGCCGATATTAATGGCAATCAATTAATTAATAAAAACAATATACTGCTACTAAAATAAAATATACTGACTCATATAATGTGTGTGTTTGGTGTGTGTGCGCGGTGTGTGCGTGCGTGCGTGTGTGCGTGCGTGCGTGCGTGCGCGTGCGTGTGTGTGTGTGATATAATTTATTAATTAATGAAAATGTAGGCCTACGTTATAAAACTTATAACGAGATCTACCGTCGGACATCGATCCCATTCCGCCTTCTCATGTTTCACGAAGGGAGAATATCGACGAGCTTAGATATCTCTATTTAATTGTGCAGGCTTTAATAATAGAATGACATTCATCATGATGGAATCGCTATAATACACCTATTACACACTAATAGTCGGTGTTGTTCACTGGCGCTATAATCCTTTCGTGTGTGAGGCTGAATGAGAGGGGTGGAAGGTGAATGGATGAGAAGAGGATAGTGCATAAGAGCAGGAAGCGTGAATGAGAGCAGATATGATTGGCGAGGTGAGAAAGGGTGAATCATAAAAGGAAGGGTAGCTGACAGCAGGAAGGATAGATGAGGAGAGGGAGATGAACTATAAAATGAGGGGTCAGCTGATGGGTGGATGAGGAGAGGAAGGTTGGATAAGACCAAAAATGGCGGATGAGGAAAGGAAGGATGAATGAGATCAGCATAGGCGGATGAGACCAGGAAGTTTAGCTGAGAGGAGAGAGCGTGCGACCCACCTGTACGTGATGGTATTGACCGTCTCTAAGATTTCATCCTGTGTCAGTTGCGTATGATGCGCTCGTTGAAACCCCACATCTCCAGCAGCCGTTAGAGAGACACTTCTCGCCACCTTGACGCACTTGTCTTCCCAGGTGATGCCCGATGCATTCAGACTCTTCACTTCTAAATCTATGTCGAGTAACTGCAGCGAATAATAGAGGGAAACCATCGCAATGTATCATTCACATTCTTGTCGTTGACCGTCAATGATGTCTAATCAAAAATCGAGCTCTAGAAGCAGCTAAACCACACGAGTACAGCGCAATACGTGTGACGTCATCATCAGGCTGCAGCAGCAGCGGCGTGGA